CTTCAAGCACAGTTCGCAAGTCAGATGTTCTGGGCAACTCCGTATGCTTAGATGATGTCTGGTGTGTGTGCGAGGGCCGATAGGTGCTTCCCTCAGTATATGAACTCTTAGTTCCCATTCTCTCAGACCTGGAGTAATGAGTCCTGTAAGTCCTTGATCGAGTGTCGCCTGTTTTTAGGCTCCTACTCTCTGCTTGCGATGGTGTGGTATGCCTACCACGATCTTCCGAGTGGCGAGGAGGCGTGTTACTTTTGCGCCCCTCTCTTGTCGCCACCCCTTTTCCTTTTATCTGGCGCTTCATTGACTCCATGCCTGCCGCCATCTTCCTTATCAACTCGTCCTGTTCCTTCACGCGATCTTCCAGGACTTGAGGGTCCATCCTTCACCTCTGCCTTTCAGGACTTTGAGAGCGACGGGAGCTGTTAGCCCGTCTCCCCCTTGCATCCCTCCGGGGGTTCTGTCGTTGGGGTTCTAAATCTGCCATGGAAGGGACAGAAGGCAAACCTTTACGCCTTCCACCATTTTCTGGGGTTTGTCCGTCGATAGCGGACTGTGGCAAATCTTCATTGTGCGCCATTACTTCCAATTAGAGAGGAAAAACTTGATCAAGAGGTTTTGTTCTTTCTGGATTTCCCACAGACGGCGCCAATTGTACGAGCAAGAAATAATGTTCTCGTATAATCCTGTTGATCAAATCTGCGCTCCTTCAAACGTCGTCGCTTTACTCCCTGAAAACACAAACGTGAGCTAGCCAGCGGGTGTGTGTCGGATACCTCTCCGATACCTAAGTTAGCAAAATAGACAAATAGACAAAAGCTCTGTGTATTCGGGAATCAAAGTTGTGTTACCTCTTCCATAGGTTCTGTTATGAGCTTTTAAAGGTTCCATGTGGAACAATCCTAGTAGGACTCTTAGTCCTCCATGTAGAGTCATCCTAGGAATCACACTCCTGAAAGATAATGCTTATCTTTCAACACCCCCCTCACTGCTTAAACCAAATGAGATGGTTTTATCCCGGTTTGGACAATAGTATGACCGAGCTAACACTATCTCTTCATACTTAACTCGGCGCCTTTATATGCGACATGTATCCCGGCTCATGTTTCACTTGTACCTCGGTTTTTACCTGTTTGGACCGGGCTAATTTGCAGCAAGCCTTGACCGAGCTAAAGAGGTGAGGTCTAGCTTAAGGAGCCCACCATCCAGACCGTGGTGACTTGTATCCACCGGGACCGAGCTAAACACTAACACTATGGTCCACTTCACAAAGCCCTTTTTACCTCGGCCCACAAAACGGCCAATTACTACGCCTGGGCCTAGCTCGACCCTAATGCACATATAAAACTCCCTCTCAACACCGAAAGTAAATGTTGCCCAGAATTGAACCAAAGACATTAAAAGAACCATTTCATAAAACCCCAAATAAAGATAAATCAAAGAAAATAAACCTATAGAAAACACTCATTCATGGAAACCAACATAAGAGAGAGATGATACCATTAATTAGATTTGTGTTTCTTAACTTAATCAGTTATGTCTGCCCAAACAACTTCTCATCCTTATCCTTTAAAAAAACTTTAAAATTCCAAATGATTTAATGAGCCTTTCTCAAAGAACTTCTCTTCCTTCATCCTTCAAAAAAACTTCTTAATCTAGCAAGGATGCTTGGGATCATACACCAAGAACTGCGTGTACAATTTAGATTCAAACGTGGGTCATCAAATGAGCTACAATTATCTTTTAGCAACTTGAGCTTTCCAAGAACTGCTAAGTTCAGCTTACAGTCCAACAACTGGAAAGAGATTATGTTACTATTGAAAATACATTACGTGTAAAACAATTCAAGATGTATGGGGAGGAACCCAAAGAAAATAGAAGCAAAGCACAATTTCTTACCATGTACTTAGCATCAACAAAAAGATCATTGACAGCTACAACATCCATGTCATCCCTAGATATTGCTATCCGTAATACCAATCTTCGAATCCAACCAAAACCTGAAAAAGTATGCAATTTGAGTTAGTTCAGTTTTGATAGTCAAAATAACTTCTTAATCTAGCAAGGATGCTATGGATCATACACCAACAATTACTTACAAGGTTAAACTTTTATCGAAGGAAAATAAATTACATACATAATCAATAAACAATTGAAACAAAGAATAGTACGGGATGTTGGTTAAAGAACAACTATAGGAGGCATTGCAGTTGCTTTGATAGGCTGCATATTCCTAGCAATACATTTTCTGTATGGTTTGGACCAAATCATTCTGTGTTCATAACAACATAAGCAAACACTACTCAACTGCACACAGAGGAAACAGTGGATTACTCAACTGTAAGGAAAATGGCTTGCCAGGAACAACAGTACCAAAAATCCTTGACTGAAACTTTGCAGAATTCAAATTGCAATTGAAACCAACAGACGACACCTGAAACGAAATAAAACAATAATAATAACAAAATGAGAGCAATTTCCATGTTGCACATTGCAATCCATGAGTAGTGAAAACTAAATGATATAATGTGCAAACAAAATTAGAACAAAAAATAAAATAATTAAAAATACACATACAACAAAATTAAGCAAAATTTCAAAAGTTATTGGCAGAATCGGCACCAAACATTCTAACACAAATTTTCTGAAAAAACAAAGAAAGTTCTAAGGTTGAGAATTTAACTGGGAAAAAAAAAACATTACCATTAAGAAATCGTTAGACTATTTACCCAATTTATTAAAAACAAAATCATTATACTATTTTTTGAATCAAAACAACCATGAGCAACCATGAAACAAACTCAAAAACATTACCAACCAAGTGATAACCACCATTATGGATTCAAAAAATAAGAATATAAGAATATAATTTGAGAGCTGATATATACCAATCATGAAATTAGAATCAATAAACTCTATTCATTAGCAATCAAAGTAGTAAATGATTCTTCAAAATTCAGTGAAACTAAGGTTTTAGTTCACTCACGATTAGGGTTCTTCACTTTGAATCCTGGAATCTCCTTCACCTTAGAGCTGTCGACTTAACGAAGAAAGATTTTCAACTTGTATTGTTGTCTTAGCAGTAGTGGAGTGAGAGACCTCGATTTATGCTTGGAATATAGCTTTCTATGAGGAAGATAACCACAACATGAACAGATATGCTCACAAGATTTGGTAGAAATTAAAAATATATAACCTGTAAACAAAACCCTAAAATAACCTGTTTGATTATGTTGATTTTCCTTGCGAGCCAAGTTCGAAGTGTCAGGAGCGAGCGAAGAGGAAGGGTTTGATTAAAAAACAAACATAGCCCGACAAAGAGAATCTTACCTTACGAGGCGAGTTTGAGAGGTAGGAATCGAGGACTAGAGAGTAGCTTTGAGAGCGCGCGAAGATGGAGGGTAGGAAAGAAGAAGAACAGAGAGGCATGAAGAGATAAAGAGGGAATGAGGAGGAGCTGTGGGTGAGAATAGAGAGAGAGAGAGGGGAAGGTGATGAGACATGGGTAGATGGGAAGGTTAGGAGAGAAATGTCTGAACCATTAATATAAATTTAGGATTCATCTTAGCCGTTCAATCAAATATATCTCTGATACATTTTATATATTTTCAAAAACCGTTCTGTTTTATTATATATATATATATATACATTTTATAATAATAACCTCAAATGAAACAACTAAAAAGGATATCAATAATTTTGAAATATCCTATTTCATAATTAAGCTCACACATTTACTATATTATGAGTTAGGGTTTATGAGAGCATCTACTTTCATCACCATCCATCCATCCATCTTTCCCAAATTCCACATTCAAAACATACCTACCTTCAAAATCTTGAAAACTCTTTGGTGACAATATTCCGACGGTAACAGTGACAACCATAATTACCTACGCTTCTCCGACAATGATAATGAGTGAAAGTTTTTCTAGCAACCATGAGATGAGAGGAGTACAACAATAAAAGTTCAGAAGATATTCATAGTTTTAATGGTGTTCTTAGCTAAGAGGAGATTGGCTTTGTAAGGGTAAGTTTATTGAAAAAAATGTCAAAAATAATAAAAACTATTCATAATTTTTTCGAGACTAAACTCCCGAATATATGACCAAAATTTGGGAACACAGGCCTGAATATTATTTATTTGTTCAAGAATAGTTAACCGAACATTTTTTATTTGTTCGGAAACAGATAACCAAAACTCGTAGAGATCATAGAACTCACGAAAGGGGAATTTTGAATCAACAACAAAAAAGAACTTACATTTATTTTCTCATATCATAAATAAATATGTGGAGATGAAGTAGTAATCACATTCGTGAGTTTTGTTAGAATTTTTAAAAGTAAGGCTTTTTAGGGTGTGGAAGTGTGCATTTAATTGAATGAGTAGAATATTTTCACAAGAATAATTTTGGTATTATTTAAGGAGAGAAAAGAAATTTTAAAGGTTTCACCCAAAATAATTGAAAGGATGCTAATTAATTCTGAAAAAAGTTTTCAGAAAATTTTATTTTTTCGTTTTCCTTTTTTTTTATTGATTTTTTTTTAATATTTTAAGCAAGTTTTTTAATTTTTAGACATACTTAACATAAATATACCTAAAAAGTAAAAAAATTGTGAAAAAAAACCTTTTAAAAATTCATTAAATACCAAAAATACAAAAAAATACGAGAATTCAATACATTTTTTTGTATTTTTACGTATTTATTAATTTTTTAAAACATTTTTTCACAAATTTTTTACTTTTTAGATATATCTAAGTAAGGTGTGTCTTAAAAAAGTAAAAAATGCTTAAAATTTTAAAAAGATTCACTAAAAATAAAAAATAAAAAAATACAAAAAATAAAAAATAAAAATTTTAAAAAACTTATTCCAGAAAATTCAAACTAAACGCGCTGAATGGTAGCCTGATAACAAAATTCTCATTTTATTTTTCTTTATTTTTTTTTGCCCCTCATACGGTTCTTTCTTTTTCTTTTCATAATCTGAATTTTTTTATTTATTAAGCTTGATTGTCAAACAAAAGCGCAAATCACGAACAATAATCTCAAAGCAGACAATGTCACAATAACATGCAGAGAAGATCACGAGATGTGCGTGTTCATCAATCATCGTGAAAACTTACATAGACTACATATATAAATAAATCAAAAAAATATATATATATATATATACATTGAATCAAATACGATGAACAAGGACGAGGATTTCGGGCCGGATCGAAGGATCGAGTTTGAAACCGATGACGAAGAAAACCAGGCCGAAAGGGATTGTGAGAACAACGACGACGACGACGACGACACTGATTCCGATGGCATTGTTCCTTCTCCAACCCCTTCAAATTCTAACATCATTGAAACCTTATGGCCTCAAAGTTTCAGGTATATAATGTGTTTCAATTTCGTGTAATATATAATGAGTATTTGATAAATGGCAACATTAGGTGTTAATTCATACTTGGAATGTGTCTTTTTGATCTCCTTCTTCTACCTTGTTTTCCTCATTTGATGAATTTGTGCTCTTGCATTAGTACTAAGATAAGTGATGATCGTTACATTATTTAAATCTCAATAATCAAAGATTATTTTCAATGGTGAGTGGGTTTGATGTACATATTGAATTATAAAAACCCTAACGGTGTTATATATATATATATTTTTTTTGATGATTTGATGAATGAAGAAGATGAATTGAATTTGATAACTGTTAATAATATGGGCATCTTTTGGGAAAATAATAATAAATAAACAAAACATTACAAAGCTTCACAGCCTTCTGAGTTGTATGCTTTATATAATAGTATAGATGAATGGAAGGATAGAATCATTTGAGAGCTTCTTTGTGTTCCACATTTTCAATGTACAGGGATTCAACTCCTTTATTTTCTTCACATATTGAAAATATTGCTGATCATAGCAAGCAAATGCGTGGGGAATATCATCAAGCTGGAAATTTTGATCAAAATGGTTATAAAATTTGAGCCCTGTATCCCCTTGTGGTCACAAATTTGACATGAGTTTGATGGCAGAGGACATTGAAGAACAAATAACACCAAGAAGGCTTGAAGAAGTTCGAGGCTGATATAATGGATGATAATAATTTCAAAGTTCTATTTAGTGTGTTTGGTTTGAGTTTTTTGGATTAAGTTTTTTGAAAATTGAGTTTTTTAATTTTTGTGTTTTTTTTTTTGTTTTTAGTGAATATTTTTAAAATTTTAAACATTTTTTTTACTTTTTTAGATACACCTTATTTAGATGTATCCAAAAAGTAAAAAATTTGTAAAAAAATATTTTTAAAAATTAATAAATACATAAAAATATAAAAAATGTATTGAATTCTCGTATTTTTTTTTATATTTTTGATATTTAGTGAATTTTTAAAAGATTTTTTTCAATTTTTTTTTTACTTTTTAGGTATATTTATGTTAGGTATGTCTAAAAATTAAAAAAATTACTTAAAATATTAAAAAAAATCAGTAAAAACAAAAAAAACACGAAAAATAAGAAAGTAAAATTTTCTAAAAAGTGTTTTTGAAAAAAGATAACCAAGCAAGCGATTGAATCAGGTCGATATTAGAGATATATGCAGGTCTGAAGCCGTCCATGTCCACATTGATTTGGAGTCGACTGTGAGCTGATTGGTCAAGTTCATAGGATAAAAGAAATGATTGTAGTTCAGTAAAGGTGACTGGAGAGGATAGAACCATGATGGCAGTGGGAAACGATTCATAATCAAGGTCTTAGCAACAAAGCCATTAAGGCCTTAAAGAACGAGATTAGTTTCCATAACAAGCTGTTTATTTATAACAGCCAATTGATCAACCAAATCGTTGATTGCAAGTATTTGCTAATAAAGTGGGAATCTTTCTTGGTAAATTGAAGAGTAGTGAAGATGAAGAGCTTGTCGGCTGGATGGAGCAGAAAAAGCTGTTTCATGAGTGAACCAAGAAAGGTTGTTCTAAGATTTTTATTAACGTGCCTTGGTTCTTTTATCTGTGAACCAAAAAATCCTGACTTCTTTATTGTGTGGGCACTAAGGTTTTAAAAAGTGACTGCAACCGTTACGTAACGGCTGTGGTGATTACCGTCACCCGTTACGGCTATTATAGTGATGTGACGAAAATTCACATGTGTAGCGGCCATTTTGGTGTTACATAATGGCCATAGTGGTACCGTGACAGCCTGTCAAACACCGTTACACCATTTTACAATATGTGAACAGCTTTCTTTTTTCAAAAAAAAAAAAAAAAAAAAACTTACAAAAAAAGAACATATACTTAAGTGATCGAAGCCCCTAAAAAATATCTTATATGATTTTTTTTTCTTTATAATTTTTTTTTTAATTTATGACACAATTTTAATTTTATAATCATTTCATTTAATAGTTGTGAATATTTTTTATTCAGTTAGTTTAGGTATTGCTAAAAAATAATTTGTAGACATTTAAAATCAATTATTCTTAAAATTATTAACTATTAAAATAAAATGTAAAAAACTTCTTTTATAGTGATATGAAATGAAATATATTGCATCATACTTAAAATTTAACAAAAATTGATCAAAATTTATTTTAAATCCCAATAAATGGATTCTAAAAAAAATATGTGTATCAATAAGTTTTCTTCAAATTGTGTGAAAAATAAAAAAAAAATCAAGGTTCTGGTTACCGCAGCCGTTATGCTACAGCCTTTACACTCCGCAACCGCTATCGTGTCACCACAACCGTTATAGAGACCGCAACCTCTTTTCAAAACCTTGGTGGGCACTATAAAGAACTCTAGATTTTATTAATGTGACCACACATTGGGTTTGCTATGTATAGTATATTTATATGCAAGGTATGATGTTGGTTTTCATATACAAGAATTGAAGGATGCAAATGACAGATGTGAGTACTAGAATCACTTGAGAACTTCTTTGTGTTCCACATTTTCAATGTTTAGATATTTTGACTCTTTCATTTTCTTCACATGTAGTATCAATTGACAACTTGAGCTCCTTTATCAATCGGATTGGTTTGTGAATTTTACTTGTTTGTGAGTCTGTCACAGATAGCTCCTCAAAATCTTGTGCACTGCAAGGATGCATTGACTAAGAAACGCAGACAATAAGGAAATCTTTTGGTTTCTTAATTCTTGCAGTATTGTCTGTATGAAATAGATTGCTGATTAGCTGAGTCCAATTATTTTCCAATTTATATGAATATGCTCTAACAGCAATTGAGGCTTCAGACCTAAGGAAGGTGATTAGGGGTGCTTGTTGGAGGTGGAAAAGATCATGAATGTTTGGAAGCATAATTGTTATTCTTTTTTATTTTTATTTTTTTGGTTTCCTTAATGAAACTGTTGTCAAACCAACCAAGATTTTTGAAACATCTGAATTAATGATTTTTAACTTACATTTGGCCTGTGTTTACAGGCAGTCCATGGATTTGTACACAAGCCTGACTTCACCCTCTGTTAGCTTAATAACTGGGACAAGTTTGACGAGAATAAGCGCCTCCTTCTTGACTTCATTCCACAAGAAATCTCAGACTTCAGGGCCTGACTCTTCTGTCAATAAACCCCTCATTTCTGTGTCAAGCTTGGACTCGGAAGAAGTGCCTACCTCGTACCTCCCTGAAAAGTTATCTGCTACTTCCCATCTGTCAGGGTTTCCTAGTAATGAATTGCCTCCCCCACAGCAGCAGTGTTCTTATGCACAATCACTTCTTAACGGTGAAATTTATATATTCTTTCACTCATGTTTGTTCTAATTATGAGACAACCCCAAACAGAAGTCCCAAATATTGTGGTCCTTAATCAAGTAGCAATATACTTCCCACATTGATTAAGCAAAAGACACCAAATATCCAATTGTTGAACTATTATAAACCCCATTGCAGCCCTTCAAGATTTAGGGCGTATTTGATGAAACTAATTTTTTTTTTAGTACTGAAATATTGAAGTATTGGATTTTAAAATATGATACATAACAATCAGTGACAAGTAAAGTGTTTTTTTACTTAAAATTAAAATTTGTTTGCAATCAATTCTCAGATTTAAGTCACAGGCAAGTATGCATTGTCCAATACACTTAATTGTGAAACCACAATACACTTTCAGTTTTAAGTGCTTAATTGTGTTATCAAATGCAGCAATCAATGTTCTATGCGGTATAGGACTCCTTTCAACTCCTTATGCACTCAAAGAAGGAGGGTGGTGGGGCCTCATAATTCTATTTATCCTCTGTATCATCACATGCTATACTGGAATTTTGATGAAGAGGTGTTTAGAAAGCTCTCCTCACCTCCAAACTTACCCGGATATTGGACAGGCTGCTTTTGGGATCCCTGGTCGTGTATGCTTAGCTGTAAGTCTGATTTGAATATCATATGTTTAAATCTGCGGTTGCATAGATGAACATGATACAGTTAATGACTTTAATTTCATTAGCAAAAAAGACTGTTAATTGTTGGGCAAAACTGATACTTGGGTTTTGGTTAATGCAGATAATCTTATACATAGAGTTATATGTAAGTGTGCCACACACTCCACACTTCTTTGATTGCAGTTTAATAATACCAGTTTAATAACTCGTAGTTTTTTTTTTGTAGTCAACTTGCGTGGAGTACTTAATTATGATGAGTGATAATCTTTCAGCATTGTTCCCAAATGCCCAAATGAATTTCTCTGGGATTCATCTTGATTCTTATCAACTCTGCACGATCATATCGACTCTTTTCATTCTTCCAACTGTTTGGCTTCGAAACCTTAGCTTGCTATCATATGTTTCAGGTTTCTAATCCAAAGTTCTCTTCCTACTTTCCTTTGCATTAATATCCAAGTTGCATGTTTGGGCTACAGATACTGATCTTTGCAGCATTTGTTTTCAGTTGGAGGAGTGCTTACAGCTGTGCTGGTGTCACTTTGCTTATTATGGGTTGGGGTGGTTGACCAAGTCGGGTTTCATCCAAATGGGACACCTTTTGAATTTGCAAAGCTTCCTGTCGTAATTGGTCTTTTTGGCTTCTGCTTTGGAAGCCATTCAGTTTTTCCAAATATCTATTCTTCCATGAAGGAACCATCACAGTTTCCCTCTGTTCTAATAGCCAGGTGATCATTGTTTCATCTCGGTCCAATCCTGAACTTGTCATGAGGCAAACTCATTGAAACTGTTTTACAAATTCTGAATTTGAAATGACATGGCTTGTTTTATGAGATTTTGAAAATACTTTCATTTGCCTAACATTTGTTTACTCTGCTGCAGCTTTTTAGCATCTGGTTTTCTGTATGCTGGGGTTGGAATATGTGGCTTTCTGATGTTTGGTGACTCGACTAAATCTCAGTTTACCTTAAACATGCCCACAAATTTTGTTGCTACCAAAGTCGCAGGATGGACCACGGTACGAAAAGAAACTCATTCTAGATACAACTAACAAGTATAGTTGTTCTACATGTCTCACCTCTCAAACCCCCATTTCTCTGTTCCTCCCTCATCTCCTTTTTAACGGAGCCTTCTTTTTTTCACATATCCCTGCATTGGGAGTCTCATGTGATCCTGCTAGCGTCAGCACTACGGGATTCTTAAGAACGGGGCCCTTTAATATTGATTGTATGACTATTTTCTAAAAGCAAAAACCTTGGTGTCTATTTGGGGTTGCATATTACAACTTGCTGGCGCCTGCACTACGAGTCTGTCTGGATACGCAGTTTCTGATAAGAGTTATAGGACCTTTTCCCAGAAGCCCTCCGGTTTTCATTTGGGATTGGGTGCAGACCTGCTGATGTCGGTGCTACAGGTTCATCCATAGTACGCAACTTTTAATGTATTTTGATTTACTTCTATTTTAGGTTGCTTCTCCTGTCACAAAGTATGCCTTGACAATTACCCCTGTGGCATTCAGTCTGGAGGAACTCTTGCCTTCACCTTGGTTTAGATCTTATGGAATGTCAATACTCATCAGAACAACTTTAGTGCTCTCAACTTCAGTTGTGGCATTGACATTTCCATACTTTGGTAAGAACTTCCATTTCGCATACTCAATTGATTCTAAGCATTCATTAAGTTTCACAATCTAAGGGGGGCAACAAACGTGATATCTTGTTAGCTAAGCTGTTATGTAAATATGACTGCAGGATCCGTGATGGCTCTCATTGGATCTTTCCTTGTTATGCTTGTAGTAAGTTTCGCATCTTCGTTTTTACACTTCAATGTCCTTGACATGGTAGATACATTACCTTAATGATTAACTTCACTGCTTGATCTTCAATTGTAGGCTCTAATTTTCCCTTGTGCATGCTATCTCAGCATTTGCCGTGACAGATTAACAAAGTTACAGGTGAACATTTTTTCTTTGCCGGCATTTCCTATGATTTCAAATAATCTTTTTTCCTTGCTTCTAGGAAGTTTTAGTATTAATGACTACCTTGATAATTTTTATATTTTGTTTCTGCAGATTTCGGTTTGCATTTTTATAATCATTGCAGGAATTACATGTGCTATTGTTGGCACATATTCAGCAGTTACAGGTATAGCTGATCAGAGGGTATGATGACATCATGACAGTTAAAGGGCAACCCCGACTCTACTTCTTCACATATCTCTTTTTGTACCCATGCAAGCTTGTGAAAACTCCATTTCATACCAAACAACTGATACAAGCCGTCGAGAAGATATAATCATCAAAACCTCAGAGGGAAGACTGGCTGGAAAGGGTTTTTTTGTTTTTTTTGTTTTATGCTTTTGAGCAGAAACAGAAGTTTATATTAGATTAAAGAAAGAGTACAGGAAGTATTCCGTATATTACATGTTGATAATGGAGGCCTTTAATGGCAAACCTTTTGGCTAAGATTCATTCCATTTTATTGGAATATTTGTAAATTCTTTTTGAAGAAGGTGATAAGCATATCAGAGTTATTATTGATGCACACATGCTTTTGTTTTTCCTGATATATGATACTAAGGATACTGTATGATGGGTCGTTTTGCACCCCAAAAATAAACACTAAACTGTACTAAATTCTTTAGAATAATGGTAAATTCAAGTATCGATTCACAATGACAAATGTGAAATTAAACTAATTTAATTATTAAATTCTTAATTTAATTTTGATTAAAAAGATGATGATTCATAAACTAAAAATAACTAAAATAAAATAAGAATTTAACCTAACAATTAAAAGTAAAGTTGAGATTACTGATTTTTGGAAAAAACCTAAGGTAATAAATTCACGATTAGTCACATAAATAAGGTCTCAATTTGAAAATTAATTATGTAACGGTTTGAACCAAATAATATTTTGCAACTACAAGTCCGAAGAATTGATCAAGAGAATTATCACGTTCAATATATATGCACGAACTATCTCAAGTAGCACGTGTCGTTCACTCTAAACTAGGATAGCAATGCGATTCGTTCTTTGTAGTATGGCTCGTCTCATACCTTGAATATGAAAGCAAAGAAAACCATTGTATGAAAAGCATTCAACAATCATAGAAAGAAGAATACTTGAAGAAATAATGGGAAATATATTTAAAAACTTCTTCAATACCATACAACTTGTTCAAACCGTTACAAAATCAAAAAAAAAAAACCCTATTTACTTGGCTAAGGTTTCATCAAAACCTTAGAAATAGAAGTCTAGCTACTCATGGAGGAGTGGGAAGAGGTAGAGGAAGAGAGTATCACCATGGAAGATTTTTTTGAAGCTTGGAATTCATCCCTTTAAACTGTAGCCCCTTATCTCTTTTGAAATATTTCAGAACCCTAGAGCAAATTATTTTTCTTCTTTTTATTTTCAGCAGAACGAGCTCAAAATTCTGGACATGTGTCCCTAGGCGGATTGCTCGAGCGCCCACAATTTCCACTCCAGTGATGGTGGGCCGCACGTGCGGTGAAGTCTGGCTGTACGTGCGGTGATGTGGCAGGCCGAGAATTTTCAGTACTTGCGCAGAGAATCTACTTTTGTGCCACTTTTCACCTAAATTTATGTGTTGCCTACCAAATTTGTGCAAGTGCACAAAACACATCATCTTTACCAAATGAACAAAATTCAAAGACTATAAATATAATTTAAGTGGCCTCAATGTAGTACCTTTCAGCCTACATCACTGTACGAGGTAGAAATTTTATGTTAAGCTTGCAAGAATATGATTATTAACTTAAAAGAAAGTTAAATTAATATTTTGCTCTCTATGTTAAGCTTGCAAGAAAATGATTACTAACTTAAAAGAAAATTAAATTAATTTATATATCTCTCTGTCTCCACAGACTTTTGAGAAAATTACAAGTACAGTGTGCGCGGTGCGGTTTGAGAATAAAATTATAAATCGAATGGTGGATTAGCGGCTTGACAGATTGGCAAATTGCAATTTGAGCGGTTTTGGACAAATTGATGGATTGAAGAATATTCTAACAAATGATCAAGCCTTTACGTAACATATAACACTAATTTGCACAATATTTTTTTATATATATAACACAAACTAATTTTACATAATATTTTTCATGTATATAACTATTAATTTGTAATAAATTTCACATCTTAAATTTCTCTCACACATTTTTACTTTGATATTTTATTATAGATTAAAAAATATATATGTATTAACTATAGCGGAGCAGAGTAATTTTGGTGGCCGATTATAAATTTTAATGTTTAAACCGCGATTAGCGGATATAATGGTGCGAAATGATGTGAATTGATGTGATTTTAACGGATTAAACAATATTTTGCATAGCTCTAATTGCAAGTGATGTTTAAAACTTACAGATGGTCCTGGGAAAGGAATCTTCAATTTTGTTAATGAACTATGTAAAGGTGGACTTTTGGAGTATCGAACATGTTGTGATTTATTTATTTATTTATATTTTTGTATTGATAGAAATTAATATAGTATTTTGCATGTCTCTCACAAATTTTTGATTACATCTACATTCACTCCCAAGTTAAAAATCTGATTATGTCCCTGTGACCAGCCTAGGATTAAGATTGGTGTTCGAAAATACAAGAGAAACTAGCCAACAATTTTTATTTAATTTTTCATTTTTTTTAGGTCACCAAAACTTCTATAAGAGGTCTAATTGTATACGAAAATGTCACACTCTAATGTCACCAAAAAATATATAAAAAGAAAAAAAGAAGAAGAAGGGAGAAATCACTTTTAACAAATGAAATTAAGGTAATCAAGCATAGAACATATATACAACATGAAATTAAGTGATGGGATTTCTTAACTACATATATTAAAAAACAATTTAATTGTAGCGATCATGTGTATCGTAAAACTTAAAATTTTCATTGGAAAAAAGTAAAAAGAATTGAAAGAATAAAATATTAGAACTGGACAATGAAGTAGGGTGTAAAAGAACCTTTGGTGGTAAGAATTTTGAGAGAAAAGGGTAAGTAGGTTCTTGAAAATCAAGCAATGATTCCACGAAAGTAAATAGAGTTTGTGAGCAGTTCCTTCTCATGCTGCTTAAGAATAATCTAAGAGCAAAAGTAACGACTCAGCCACCAACCAAGCTTCTCAACTATTTATCCATGGTCAGTCCTTGGTGAAAATGACAGGTAGTTCCAGATATGTAGCTTTGAACTACTTCACATGAGCACTTTACACGTTTAGAGAATACCTTTGATTTTCTTGATCCCCCAATAATCAAATTTATTTATGTTTTTGATCAGCAAAGAAAAATTTCAAGTTTATGATGTTGCTATTAGAGACAATTTCATTTTAATATCCATGCACCAATCATGGTAAAAATTTAGTTTTATTACAAAATGAAACTTAATTATTAAATTTAACAATGAAAACCACGGCACATCGTGCAGTAAGACGTACATGTGAATTTTGGTGGCCGATTATAAATTTTAATGTTTAAACCGCGATTAGCGGATATAATGGTGCGAAATGATGTGAATTGATGTGATTTTAACGGATTAAACAATATTTTGCATAGCTCTAATTGCAAGTGATGTTTAAAACTTACAGATGGTCCTGGGAAAGGAATCTTCAATTTTGTTAATGAACTATGTAAAGGTGGACTTTTGGAGTATCGAACATGTTGTGATTTATTTATTTATTTATATTTTTGTATTGATAGAAATTAATATAGTATTTTGCATGTCTCTCACAAATTTTTGATTACATCTACATTCACTCCCAAGTTAAAAATCTGATTATGTCCCTGTGACCAGCCTAGGATTAAGATTGGTGTTCGAAAATACAAGAGAAACTAGCCAACAATTTTTATTTAATTTTTCATTTTTTTTAGGTCACCAAAACTTCTATAAGAGGTCTAATTGTATACGAAAATGTCACACTCTAATGTCACCAAAAAATATATAAAAAGAAAAAAAGAAGAAGAAGGGAGAAATCACTTTTAACAAATGAAATTAAGGTAATCAAGCATAGAACATATATACAACATGAAATTAAGTGATGGGATTTCTTAACTACATATATTAAAAAACAATTTAATTGTAGCGATCATGTGTATCGTAAAACTTAAAATTTTCATTGGAAAAAAGTAAAAAGAATTGAAAGAATAAAATATTAGAACTGGACAATGAAGTAGGGTGTAAAAGAACCTTTGGTGGTAAGAATTTTGAGAGAAAAGGGTAAGTAGGGTCTTGAAAATCAAGCAATGATTCCACAAAAGTAAATAGAGTTTGTGAGCAGTCCCTTCTCATGCTGCTTAAGAATAATCTAAGAGCAAAAGTAATGACTTAGCCACCAACCAAGCTTCTCAACTATTTATCCATGGTTAGTCCTTGGTGAAAATGACAGGTAGTTCCAGATATGTAGCTTTGAACTACTTCATGTGTGAGTGATTTTCTAACCATACTGTCAACTCAGTATTCAGCTGGAGAATACTGGCAGAATAGATGACACCTGGCTGACCTGCAACAGAAAGAGAAGATTCTAGCGGTGATTCGTCCACCCGGGGGCACTCCGACGATCAAGTCAGTATATCTCTCAAAGATAATCAATAGTGCTAAACTCACTGTTCAGAATATAAATTACATACGTTAGACCCATCGGGGGTGCCTTTCTTTTATAGTTACCTCAATCCTAGTTCCCATAGAAGCCTAGCTTCAGTGGACTTCTGCTCAGTGCTTATCCTGGACCTCTCCAATAGATAAAGATAAACTCTCTAAGAGTGTTATCCTTATCCATGCTAAAGTCCTTCCTCATTTTATGACTCTTGTCCCCTATCCGCTTATCCCGGATTCCGATATCTTCGGAGATAACCTCGGCCTTGCCGAGATCACCTCGGTGTCATAACCCAGACACGTGGCACCTCGACTAACACGTCGGTGTCACCTTGGCCACGTGTTGGGACTCAGAAAATATATCCCCACAACTGTCCCCTAGGTGAGGTGATGGAATCTATATCGGTACTTCCTATCATTATGTCGGCTAAACATATCTCAGCCGAGATCTTCATTCAGACCGACATGCTTTTTACAGAACAAGAATTTCCAAGTTCTCTTTCATGCGTATGAGCTGTCGTGCATCACAACTCAACCGTTTTCAGCCACGCGTCTTTTTCTCATTAGACCGTACTAGATATGCGCCTGTAAATCGAATCATTCTCGCGTGCGCCGTCTGACGCATATGTTTTTCTAGGCACATTAATAACCTCTTTGCCGCCGTTTCTGTGTTTTAACAAAAATCATTTCCTCTCTCTTGGTCTTCTAACTTTCGTATCCTCAAGCTCTCAACTCTCTCTAGCTTCTGAATACGCCATTGTTCAAGCTTCTATAGCTCTGCAACTTGCTCCGTTTACCCCTTGCAGCGTGATTTTCATCGATCCTCCGCCTTTACAACCGTCGTCAGACTTCGGCAATCCTTATTCCGGCTTCCCTCTTTCTGATAAGCCACTGTTCCTTCTTGTTTTATTTCTGGCTGCTCTTTAAGAAGTTTTACTTCATTATTTGGTCGCCATTGCTGTTTTACTAAGTTTTTAATTTACGAATCTTGTATCTGAATATGTTTATTTCACAACCTCGTTCTTTGCCCATGTCTTGAATATACACACTGTTCACAACTTTTTTGCACTTCTGCCACTGTTCTTGACTTCATACCCTTTGTTCTTGCGATGTTCTTGATAGTCCATCTTTGTTCTTGAATCTGAATCGTATTCTTGTTTCTGTTTGCCGTGTTTTTCCAGATTCTCGTTTTCAATCCTTGCTTCCATAGATCTGGGTTTGGGATTTGTCTGTAGAACCCACGAATTTTTAGGAAAAACTGAAACGATTCCCATACATTCTTACCCCAATATTTACTTAAGCTTTTGCTGAGGTCCTAATAACCCTCTAGAATACTTTCTTTTGAAATCCATCTTTTCCTAGTTAAGCCGACATCATGGGTATGTGGAAATATAGGGTAGACACCCCGACAAAATTAGAATACTTTAGGCGAGAGTTTTCCATCCCTGCCGACGTCCATCTGAGGTTGGCTATGGATGACGACTCTATAATGCCCACCACTGATTCTATACCCTTCCCTGTAGTGGCCTTTATCGAGTACGGACTTCGGTTCCCACTAAACACCATTTTTCATGAAATACTTCATTACTATAAGTTGAACCCTATGCAACTTGCCATCAATTCCTATCGAGTTATCAACGGTATAATTGCCTTAGCTAAACAAGAAAATGCTAGGATTACCCTAGCCGACATCCAATATTGCTGCACTATATGTGGCCTCAAAAAAGATACGGGCTACGTTTACTACCTCAAGTCGAGATCTACAGAGTATAAAATCGTAGCCGACCTCCCAGACTCCAACAAGGGAGCTGGAGACGACTACTTCATTACCTCGGGGAACTGGGAGTTCGCTCCAGATGAGGACCTCCATCTTTACCCTTTTCCTCGAATCGTTTTTGTAGAGGGTAATGGTAAGAGCCCTGTGTCCATATTACTTGTTTGTTTCAAAGTCTTCGATACTCTATTTGTTTCTAATGTCCGTTTTCTTGCAGCTTTTCCGGAGCCACCAAAGGGCTTCCGTCAGTCTTTCTTTCCTAACGAAGACTTAAACAAACTTTTGGATCTGCCAGTCCATAAACGGAAGGCCCCTCTCCTGCTTAATTTCATTCCTACGTATAGGTCAGCTCTTCCTGACGTCCCCAAGAAAAAGAAGAAGAAGAGTCCGTCTCCTCCTTCTGCCACAACTCCGCAGACTACCTCCACATCTCGGCAAGATCAATGATCGACCTCTGATCCAGCCGAGCAGCCGTCAACCTCGGCTCCTTATTTGATCCCAATATTCCAGCACCAACGTCGGCGACGAACTATTTTTGCTGCCGAAATGGGCTGCCAAAAAGTAGTTGCCAAGGGTCTTTTAGCCAGCATCCCTGATTCAGTTGATACCCAGTCAGCGTTAACCCAGCCAAAGCCTAAGACAAAAAGGATTAAGAAGGCTCAGCCAAAAGCAAAGGTGACTCAGATTGATACTGAGGACACCTTGCCGATCTCCAAACTGGCTAAGAGTGATAAGTCCCAATCTGCCGCGGAGAAGAGGCCTGCCGAGGCCCATCCATCCGAGTTTGCCCGATCAAAGAGGCCGAGGTCATTCGCTACAACCACCTCGGGATCTTCAAAGCGCGATGTCCCCTGGGCCTCCTAAATCACATTGGAAGATAAGCCAGTTATGGCTAGTGACAATGCCGACGACATTAATGTCGCTGTCGCCCTTAGTACCGTTTTGCTCATTCCTGGCGATCTTGACCGAAACGCCGAGATGAGCGAATATGAGAACTATGCTCTGATGCTCCAGCACTCTGTTCAGGTAAGTCTCTTTATTGGGAAATTTTCTTTCTTTCTCTTTCATTACATACTTACAATATTTTCTAATAACTTCTGTTTATTTTCAGGCCATCCAACATGCTCATTCTTTCTCAGTACAGTCTTTCGAGAACCGGGAGAAGCTGGCCGAGAAGAAGAGAGAAGTTACTAGTCTACAAAAGGCCAACAAAGCTTTCAATCAAAAATGAAGAAATTGGAAGACCAGGCTGAGGCTACCATCAAAGCTCAAACTGATGCTGAAGAAAAGACAGAATCTGTTGAGGCCATCAAGAAGGTTCTTGAGGCCAAGAAGAAAGTGGCCGAGGAAGAGACGGCCCAGGCCCAAAAAGAACTACAAGAAGCTTTGGCCATGAAGGACGCCGAGCTCAAGGCAGCCGATGAGAAGGGCTACAATAAGGGGGTGGCTGATGTCACGGCGGATTACGAGAAGCAAGTGAAGCAGGCATGCAATAAGGGTTTCACCCTTGGTTGGATGTCTTTACTTAACAAGCTTGAAATCCCCGATGACTCCTCACTCCGGAATACCGACGTCCTCCCTCTGCCATTCCCCCCTGTCTCTAAGCCAATCTGATGACGACTCTGAATCTGAGGAGGAGGTTTTGGTGAGGAAGCCAAAAGATGCTGCTGGGACCAAGTCCTCTTCTCTTAATGAGCAAGTCCTGGACTTGACTCAAGATGAGGAGGGTGAGGAGGTTCCCAAAGATGCTACAGCTGAGAAGACATCAGCCGACGTTCTTTTTTCCGACAAGAGTCTTGATGAAACTCTTCAAGAAATTGATGCCGAGCTCGCCGCAGAAAAGGCTGCCGAGGTGTCTTCTCAGCAGTCGTCCGAACTTCAGACCCAACCATCTGTTGTCGTCGAAGAGTCTTGACTCTGATGTCTTTTTCCTTTGTATTTTGTACTTTGTTTTTCTTTTTGAAGTAATGTAAACTCTTTATATGGCCGATGTGCCTTCAATTCAACTCTTTTGTTTTGAATGCTTGTATGTTTGTCTTCTCTGTATTGCTCCAGTGTTATTCCATACTTAGAATATTTTACATATCTTTAATATACACTTCAATCTTTGTGCAACCTTCTCGGGATGGAACACCTTGGTAATATAAACTGATGATTTACCTCGGCAAGCATCCAAGTACCTTTCTTAGCATGACCTTGGTTTCAGCTTGTAAATTTTTCATAAAATTTCAACAAGTGTTTAACCTTAGTTGAACTTCAACTTGTAAACTTTTTAAGTTTCAACAGGTGTTTAACATAATTTCTGTTTAACTTTGACTTGTAAACTTTTTAAGTTTCAACAAGTGTTAAACATCATCTCGGTTTAACTTCAATTTGTAAACTTTTCTCAAGTTTCAACAAGTGTTAAACATCATCTCGGTTTAACTTCAACTTGTGAACTTTTCTCAAGTTTCAACAAGTGTTAAACATCATTTCGGTTGAACTTCAACTAGTAAACTTTTCTCAAGTTTCAACAAGTGTTAAACATCATCTCGGTTTAACTTCAACTTGTAAACTTTTCTCAAGTTTCAATAAGTGTTAAACATCATTTCGGTTCAACTTCAACATGTAAACTTTTCTCAAGTTTCAATAAGTGTTAAACATCATTTTTCTTCTCTCTGCCCCCTGATGTGAACCTAAGTTCCACTTGGGTTCTCATTATACACGTATTCTAGAAACAATGTTATGTATCTTTATCAGTCACAAGTGTATAAAAACAAGCTAAAACTTTATTTATTTACTTCAGCAAAAATGACAAAAAATTCTAATGATAGAAAAATTTCAAATTGCAAGTGTTCCAAGGCCTTGGCAACTCTTTTCCTTCATTATCTGCAAGCCGATATGCCCCATTGCCCAATACCGAAGTGATTTTGTAGGGTCCTTCCCAGTTTGGGCCAATCTTGCCCTCCCTGGGATCCTTCTTATTGCCGGAGACTTTTCTCAAGACTAGGTTGCCGACTTGGAACTCCCTTGGGTTGACTCTTTTATTGTAAGCCCCGGCAAGCTGCTGTTGGTATGCTGCCAGCTGAATTGCAGCTCTCTCCCTTCTTTCTTCTAGTAGGTCTAGATCTCGGGCTAAGAGTACGTCATTAGTCCCGTTCTCTACTCCCTGGGTTCTGATCACAGGGATGCCGACCTCCAGCGGATTGATAGCTTCTGTGCCATAAGCCATGGCAATGGGGGATTCCCCCGTTGATCTTATCGGTGTAGTTCGATATGCCCAGAGCACACTTGATAGTTCATCCACCCACTTTCCCTTTGCTTCCTGCAGCCTCTTCTTTATCCCATCCAAGATAACTTTGTTGGATGCTTCTGCTTGTCCATTACTTTGAGGAAAGCTTGGGGTTGAAAAATAATTCTTGATCTTGAATTTTGCACAGAAGCTTTTGATTAACTTGCTGTCAAACTATGCTCCATTGTCAGCAACTATTGCTCTCGAAATCCCAAATCTGGTGATGATATTCCCCCATAAGAAGTTCTTCACATCAACATCTCGGATTTTGGCTAGGGGCTCAGCTTCTATCCACTTGGTGAAGTAATCTGTTACTACCAGCAGGTACTTCCTTTGTCCAGTTGCTTGGGGCAGTTGCCTAATGAGATCCATGCCCCATTGGGCAAACGGCCATAGACTAGATACTGGGTTCAGGTCTGCTGCTGGTTGATGTATCAGTGGTGCAAACCATTGGCATTTTTCATATTTCTTGACATAGGCATTTTTCACATTTCTTAACATAGGCCTCTGCGTCCTTCTGCATGTAGGGCCATCAATATCCCTGGGTGATGGCCCTATGAGCTAGTGATCTGCCCTTAGCATGGCTTCAACAAATTCTTTAATGTATTTCATATAAAAAATCTTCAACTTGTGAAGGATGTACGCACCTTAAAAGGGGTCTAGTGAAGGATCTTCTGTAGAGATGTCCTTCTGCTGTCAGACTGAATCTTGCCGACTTCAATATGATCTTGTGCGCCTCTTTGTGGTTATCTGGCAGCTTCCCTTCCTTTAAGAATGCTACAATTGCATCTATCCAGCTTGGTCCCATATCTACACACATTGCTTCGTGCTCTGCGATCGGTGGTTCAATGCTCAGGCCCGACAGGTATTCGACCATTATCGTCCTTGCTTTTCCAGGTTGTATTGCACTAGCCAGATTGGCCAGTGCATCGGCGTGACTGTTATCATCTCGGCTAACCTGATGTAGTCGGCAATTCTGAAATAAGGCCACTAACCTGTTGACTTCCTTTGCGTAGGCTGACATCCTTTCATCTCGGGCTGCAAACTCGCCTGTTGTCTGGTTGACTATGAGCTGGGAGTCACAGAAGACTATCACTTCATCTGCTTCTGCTGCTACTGCCAGCTTTAGTCCTGCAATCAATGCTTCATACTCTGTTTCATTGTTTGAGGCCTTGAACCCCAATCGAATAGACTGTTCCAATATATCTCCATCTAGGGATACCAGCATTATTTCTGCCCCCGCTCCTTGTCGGTTTGAGCTCCCATCGACAAACAGTCGAAAGGAGTCGCCGATATAAATGCTACAGGGTCTGAGTTTTTCCTTCTTCTTTTGTTCTGTTGCATTCGGCTGGGCTTCTTTTTGCTTGCTTGGACATCGTTCACTTCGACTCAACGGAGCCCGATGTTTGATGGATTTTGGTGTGAACTCGACTACGAAGTCCGCCAAAACTTGGCCTTTGATTGTTGTTCTGGGTTTGTACTCCAAATCATACTATCCGAAGGCCACTGCCCATCTAGCTATTCTTCCTGTCAGGTCTCCTTGTTGCAACAAGGACTTCAAGGGGTGTTCAGTTAGTACCACAATTTTGTGGGCCTGGAAGTAATGGTTCAGTTTCTTTGAAGCCATTACTGAAGCCAGTGCCAATTTCTTTAAGGGTAGATACCTTGTTTCTGCATCGGCCAAGGTTTTGCTTACATAGTAAACAACCTTTTGCTTCCCTTTTTTTTCTCGGATTATCACTGCGCTTACTGCGTGTTCTAAGACTGCTAAGTACAAAAACAACTCCTTCCCAGGTTCTGGGTTTGAAAGAACTAGAGTCGTGGTCAGATACTTCTTCAGGTTAGCCAAAGCGGCTTCGCACTCCTCGGTCCATAGGAAGTCTGTGGCTTTCTTCATGAAGTTGAAGAAAAGTTTGCACTTATCTGAGCTTCTGCTTATGAACCTATTCAGGGCTGCGGCCCTTCCAGTTAGCATTTGCACCTGTTTTGCTGACGTCGCGCTCTTCAACTCCAGGATGGCCGTAATCTGATCTGGGCTAGCCTCAATGTCCCTTCTGGTCACCAGGTACCCCAAGAACTTACCAGATCCAACTCCAAATGCACACTTCGATGCATTGAGTCGGAGCCGATATGTTTTAAAGATTTCAAATACTGCTTTCAGATCGGTTAGATGACCTTCAGGTTCCTTGGTCTTCACGACCATGTCGTCGATGTAAACTTCCACTGTTCGGCTAATCAGATGTTTGAACATCTTGGTTACCAATCTTTAGTAAGTTGCTCCTGCGTTTTTCAACCCAAAAGGCATTACCTTGTAGCAATACAGTCCTTTTGGGGTGATAAACGCAATTTTCTCTTCGTTTAGGGGGTACATGGCTATCTGGTGATACCCCCTGTAGGCATCCAGGAAGCTCATCCTTCCATGCTCTGAAGTGGCATCTACCAACTGGTCAATATTGGGTAGAGGGAAGCTGTCTTTGGGACAGGCTTTGTTTAAGCTGGTAAAGTCCATGCAGACCCTCCATTTACCATTCTTCTTCTTCACCACTACTGTGTTCGATAGCCATGTCGTGTAGTTTACTTCTCGGATGGCCCTAGCCTCCAGAAGTCTGTCTACTTCTTCCTCCACTGCCTCGACATGCATTAACGTCGGTCTTCTGGCTCGTTGGATTACAGGTTTTGTCGACCTATCAACATTCAGTTTATGACAAGTGACCTCGGGGTCAATGCTAGGCATCTTATAAGGTGTCCAAGCAAACACCTCAATATTTGCTCTCAAAAAAGCTTCAAACTCTTTTTCCTCTTCTTCAGCTAAGCCCGAGCCGAGAAGAAAGAAGCGTTCTTCATCCCCCTTCTGGACGAGGATTTTCTTTAGTGCTTCTTCACTCTTCTCGGCTGGCTCCTTGCTGACATCCTCTATGACCTCCACGTCTTCGTCTTCGATCTCTGCCGTCTCTGGTTCTCTTATGCTGCAGGTGGATTTCATTGCTGCCATGGAGCAATTCTTTGTCTGCAGCTGATCTCCTCTGACCTCCTCAATCCCATGCTCTGTTGGGAACCGCAATAGTTGATGCAATGTTGAGGGAACAGCCCCCATTGCATGTAACCATGGTCTTCCCAAAATGATGTTGTAAGGGAAGGGTGTGTCGATTACGGTGAACTCTGTTGTTATTTTCTTGGTGCCTGCCTGCACCTCCAAGCTGGTTATTCCCAGTGGCCATGTCGGTGTTCCATTAAACCTGACCATTGGGCTATTGGATTGCTCTATATCGTTTGGGTGAAGGCCGAGCTCCTTGTAACATCGGACGTACACGATGTCACAAGAGCTGCCTTGGTCAATCAGGATGCGCTTTACTTGGCATTCCCCAACCTGGAGGGATACTACCAAGGCATCATTATACGGATGCTGCACCATCTCAAGGTCAGCTTCAGAAAAGGACACTACTAGTCTTTGGCACTTCTCTGCCCGATGTCTCTTCTCCCCGACTTGGTAGACATGCTGCAAGTGCTTCACCTTCTAGGTCTCCCCCCTAATTTCATTCTCGTTAACCTTCGAGTGAATTACATTAATTACCTGAGGTCCTCCTGCCTGAGGTTGCTGTGTTGGGAAAGGCGGGGCTGCTGGTGTCTGAGGCAGTCTTGCTTGT